CCCTATCTCTACTGAAAATTCAAAAATTAGCTGGATATAGTGGCACACGCCTGTAATCTCAGCTACTCGGGAGGCTAAGGCAAAAGAGTCACTTGAACCCAGGAGGTGGAGGTTGCAGTGAACCAAGAACATACCACTGTACTCCAGTCTGGGTGACAGAACGAGACTGTGTCTCAAAAACAAAAGAAATAAATTTTTTAAAAAATCAAAACCTAGGAAGCTTGGCCCTCTTTAAACAGAAACAATGTTTTGCTATGAGACCAGAAATCCTTGCTATACACTGGCTGCTCCCTGTGGCTCACATGTGGTTGTTGCTATATATTCAAAAGTTGCCCAGTGCAGAAACAAGTACTAGGAGAGCTTATCTCTGAAAGTAATAAGTAACTGAGCTCTGGCCCCACTGATAATTACTGAAAAGTAATAATATCAATAATAGCTGCTAACATTCTTAAAAGCTTACTATATAACAGGTCCTAAATTTTCTCATTTAGTCCTCACCACAACCCTGTGAAATGGATTCTCTAATTATCCCCATTGTACTAGTGAAGAAACCAAGATGGAGACAGAGTGAGTGACACAGGTCACAAAGCAAGTGAGAAGCAGAGCCACATTTCTCAACCCAGGCAGTCTGGCTACAAACCACCCTCTTGACAGCTGGGTTTCACTGACCCTTCAACAACTACAGGGTAATCATGAAGGCCAGATTCCAACTAGGGCCAATGTATACTGTAGAGCTTGCCCTGCATGGTTGGGTATAACCAGACAGGTGAGCAAAGGGTGAGCCAGGGTTGCCACAGACAAAACAAGGTGATCTCTGGTGCCCAGAAGGAATTCTGTTTGGGAGCAGAGAGTAGAGTTGGAGGAGTACAGCTACTTCACTCCAAGTCTCAGTAACTTCTAGTGATAGGAGATCTGAGACCTAGGAAGGGCATCATGGTGGACGGGCCAGGATGGTGATCAGACAGAAGGGAGGACAGTGCTTGGAGTTTAGGCAGGGTATCTCACAAGTTCAGTGGTAGCCAGCATGGCCCAAAATACCAGCCTGGAGTTTGGAGGGAGGGGGTCCAGTCCATGGGAGAGAAACTGGCAGATTATCGTTTGGCCAGAGCTCAGGGACTGTATTTGGTACCAGGGCTCAGAAATAAGGACGAGTCCAGTTACCGAACCCAGGACACTGTCCAGATCAGATGAGCAGAAAGGGTAGCTAGCTTAACATTGAGGGAGAGGTGCTAAAGACCCTTGAATGTCACCTAAGGAGGTTGGACTTCATACTGTGATCTCACCTAGGGGGCTGCTATATACATGTAACACCACAAACTGGGACGATATTATGTCTTCTTTCTAATAATCTCTCAAAAACTCATTATGTATAAATGATCTTTTGTGCACAAAAGTGGATGTTCATGCATTAAAAAGGGCTGTAAAAAGTTTTTGAAAGTGAGTGGATACATGGTTAACCCTAAAATAACATTAGTTTCATATTCTGACTTGCTTTCTTGAAGAGGAGAGTAAGAGATACAGATGTAGTTGGCATGTTTGCATACCCCCGGGATGCTGTGTGAAGGTGCCATGCATGTCTATGTCAGCTTATATATCACAATCGAGAAAAGGCAGAAAATTGCCCTCCAAGGCAATGGAAGTTGGTCTGAGGGTGTGCAAGGGTATTATAAGAACAATTGTGTGTGATTGTAAGTCCTCCTATAATATTTGAATTAGATAGATAGATAGATAGATAGATAGATAGATAGATAGATAGATAGATAAAATAAAAATAAATTTGTCAGGGTTAGTCCTACAATAAATTAAAAGGGGTGGGGGTCATAGGGACAATATGTTGACATATTGTCACAGCCAGGAAAAATAAAGGCAATCTAACTGGCAGATACGAGAATTAAAAAAAAAAAAAAAAATGACAGTAGCCAGGGACCATTTATTGTGGTCATAAAAAGGTTCATACACCTCTCGGAAATCGTTGTAATGCAGCAAGTGTTAGACTTTATGGGACCAGTTGCAATATTGAGTCCCCAGTTAAGATTAGAATATCCCCCTTACACCCTATTTAAGGAGGCAGGTAGCCAAGAAACATATATTAGGCAGATTTTCATCAAAAGTACCTAATATCACAAGTGAAAGAAGGCATTGTTTCCTTCGTGGCACTTAAGCTGTGGTACATTTTTTATATTATCCTCATTGAACCTCCCAAACTGTATGCCCTGTGCAGGCGAGGACCATGTTCACCCTGGCTTCCCCAGGAGGGAAGCACCTTTCATGGAGGTTGACTTTCCTCAAGCCACTTGTGGCATTTGTCCTGCTCTGGACCTGCCCTGAGATGAGATGTGGGAGGAGGTACAGGCTTCTTCCCAATCAGGCCTCTGAGATGCCTTCCACTGAGTCCCCATCAACTGAAAGAATTTCATCCGCTTCCTCCGCCCCATCTAGCTGTGCAGGAATGTCTTCTGTGATTGCTGCTGTGAAGAAAAGCTTTCACTTTAGTGAAAGGCCTCAGTACTGCCTCAAACGTTAAATGTTGGGCTTCTTGTAAAATTCTATTTTTGTCCTCTCCAGGTTTCTAGACAGAGACCTAGGAAAAGGCCCTAAGCAGATACAGTGGTGGGAGCCCCATGACCCTCATTTCAGTTCACTGCCAACCTGGGTGCCCAGCAGCTTCGTCCGTGAGATCTGGGCTTATCCAGCAATGAAGCCTCTAGGGAGCAGCCAGCACCTGCCGGAGGGCTCTGATCCACCACACAGCTGTGAGAGTGGCCTAGCCCTGTAAAAGAAGTGGGCTGGGAGCCTCCACACCTGGGTTCCACTGTCAGAGGCAGGCCATCCCCACCCCTCTCTACACTGCTGTTCTCCCCTCGTCCCTTCGTCCCTTGGTCCCTTCCCCTCTCCTTTCTCCTCCCTCCTTCCCCTCTCCTTTCTCCTCCCTGACATCCTTTCCCTCTCTCCTCCCCTTTCCTTTCCTGTTACTTCTCAGATGACATAGATCAAATTGCTCGTTTTCCTACTCCAAGAAGCAAAGGTTCCTCCCCTCCAGAGGCTCTTCCCAGTGCCCTAAAGTTTTTGCCCTAAAGGCAAAAACTTCAGCACAGAATAAATAGCTATGAATTTGCCCCCCTTGGTTAGAGAGACAGGGCTATTCATGTCCACAAGACACTTACCTGTGAAGAATCAGAAGTATTTTAAACAGGTGGGACTTTACCGTTACTGTTCTCCTTATAAAGAGTTACACATTTGCTTAACTGGAGGCTTCTCACGTGGCTTTGCTTTCCCCACCCCAACAGCAGGCCTGGAAGATGATTACAGAGGTGTTTATGATGAACAAGAGTTGAAGAAAAGTCCCTAAATGTCTAGCAAATGTGGATTCACAGGAAGGACTCTGGTGGAGCTTGGGCCAGACCTCTCCCCAGCCCTCCCACCCTGCCCCACTCCAGCTGAAGCAGGCAGAGGGACGCTCCCTGGAAACAGAGGAAGTTTGAGTTTCAGGGCCCCTCACTTGGTCTGGCCCTCCAAGGCCCTGGGAAGATCCCCAGTACTGTGTTCCCATGGTCTCATATTTTTGTAAGATTTGCAAAAAAATACATAGTTTCAACACAGTTGGGTTCAACTGCTGTTTCTTTCCACTACAGCTGCCTTTTCCTCATGCTTCTCCTCTGATCAGATGGTATTGGAATAGCTGTGGGCATTTGGGGGATCCAACTAAGGGGAAACTGAATTGAGAGTGAATTTAGTTTAGATTGAATGGGATACATTCGTGTGGGCTGCAGTCACTTCTGTGCATGGCTAAGCCACTGCTGTCCACCCCAGAGTAGGAATGGCTTACAGGAATAATGCACAAGTCTGAATTAAATATAAACGTGTCCTATGGTGCCTGGCATCAGAAGTCTGTGGGTAGTGAAGGAAAAACAAGGTTTGAGATGTATTGAGCCAGGCTGGAGACTCTGTTGAAAATTCTTCTAATCATGAGATATATAAAATGCAGTTTTCATTGATGCCTCATCAAAATGGAAATTCAGGAATATATTCAATGACAAAGCATGTACACTGATAAGTACACTGTGCATTGCTTATGGGAATTGCATAAAATAAAATTTATCAGAAATCTTGCATTTGCGGGACCTTACCCTGTAGCAGTGAGGCACGTAGCAAGCATGTCTGTGTGTAAGAAATCGTGCCTTAATGCCTTCCAACTATCAACAATTTTTATCAGTCTTGCTAGAGGAAAGACTGCTTTATCTTTTTATTCTGTAATACAAAATCATTATCATATAAAGAGAGGAGCAAAGTTAGGAGGCAAAAATTCCAGAAGAAAGTTATTTTAGCAGTGTGTCAGACAGTTAATTAATTAAAATGTTTTGTGTTTGTCCTGGGCTTTGAGAGGTCTATTGCAGTTGCCAGCTTTAAAAACATAGTAATTTTTTTGTGACTTATCCTTCTGAAGAGTCACTTTCACTCCCAATTTTGTATTTATATTTTTGTATTATTTTCCTTAAAGAGAGAGCCCCCAAACTGTATACGCCTCAGACTCCACAGTCTGAATCCTCCCTATGGGGAAGTCTCTAGAAAAACGTTCTGTTTACTCTGCCTCAGGAAACACTGCTCCAGGCTGGACACACACATTCCCAGGACATTTTGGTCAATGGGTGGTTGCCGAGGTACCAGGCCACCTTCTCTCTAGAATGTGTGTTTTTGGGGCTATGGAGGTCTTTTTCCTGATGGCTGCTATCCTGGGTTTCAGGGATGCTTACCTTGCCAGGAAAGACAGTAGTGAAGAGCTGCTGTTGATGCTTAACTTCTCCAGCATCCTGAGGCCCAGCTGTTCAAGTTCTTATTTTGGTATAAATCTGAGGTTCTTTTGATTCAAGAAGAGGTAGGATAGTTTTCTGCCAAATCTTTTCTCAGATACACATTGTGTTTGGGTTAGGTCATCTGACACGCAAGACTGTCTCATTCCTTCTGCAGCAGGGGATTGACCAGTTTTCGGTTTTCTTTAACAGAGTTGGCGTGGACCTGGATGAAAATTTGAAGGAGGATCCCTCCTCACAGCACCAGGCAAGTCAAAGAAACCAATGCACAGAATATAGAGATATGATTGTTCTGTTCCATAGGCTGTTCCATGTTTGTCCAGCACGTGACCAAGGAGCTATTTCTAAACGGAGCTTCCTCTGCTGATAAAACAAATGAGATTACAATAAAATACAAGGGAATTCAGGGTGTTGATAACTTCTAGCATATGAATGCTTAGAACTAGCATGTACTTGCAAGTCTCTCTATGGCAGCACGAAGCCTGGAAACTTTACAAAGTACAAGCAATACCATGATGGCTCTTAGAATGAGGCACTCCATAGTTAAAATCCCTACCCAGCAACTTGCTAGCTAGCCGACTCAGTGAAATTTACACAAAGTATGTCCAATGCATGTTGCACAAACAACAAATTGACTTATTTCTCCTGGACGGCTTCTCATTTATCCGGTCTGAGGCCCAAGAAACTGTCTAGGTGATCCATTCCTGACTTAATTGAACAACAATTATCTACAGAGACCTGAAAATCCTTTGGGGTAATTGTTTTAGAACAATGAGCTCTTCCCTGATATATTAGTTCGTTCTCACAATGCTGATGAAGACATACCCAAGACTGGGTAATTTATACAGGAAAATGGTTTAATGGACTTACAGTTCCACATGGCTGGGGAGGCCTCACAATCAGGGCAGAAGGCAAGGGGAAGCAAGTCACATCTTACGTGGATGGCGGCAGTCAAAGAGAGAGCTTGTGCAGGGAAACTGTTTTTAAAACCATCAGATCTAGTGAGACCCATTCACTCTCACAAGAACAGCATGGGAAAGACCCATCACCATAATTCAACTACCTCCTACCAGGTTCCTCCCACAGCACATGGGAATTGTGGGAGTTATAATTCAAGATGAGGTTTGGGTGGGAACATAGCCAAACCATATCACCTCAAGTGGGGGAAATGCATTCTCCAAACTGAATTTGAACCAAACGTCAAAGTAGAATCTGTCATTGTCGGTTTTGCACTAGCCATTTTAAACTCGGTACTTGATAAGCAAATGCAGGGAAATTTTACACCTTTTTGCTGAAATTAGAAGTAGACAGACATAGATGTAATAGGAGAATATCATAAATAAGTGATATTACTTAATGAATTGTGTTATGAGCATATTTGTATTCTAAGGGACTCCCTCTCTTTTATTTCATGCTTATTTTTCCAATAATGCCATCAATGAGGCACAATTGGTGAGTTTTCCTGGGCAAGACACTGCTTTCCTGGCACACACAGATGAGACAAAGAAAGGAGCCTGTGCTCTGCGGAAAAGGCTGGGAAATTAAGTTGGTGATGATCCTGGCTCTCATGTACTTTGAGGTTTTTTGTCACATGTGTTCCAAGGCCAGGCAGTTTCCACAGACTCCATTGTCCAGGAAACACACCTAACTGCAGGATGGAGCACAGCAGGGGTGCCCAAAGCACTGGGATTAGAGCCAGCCTGGTGACCTTAGAAAGGAGATCAAAGCCCATCTCCTTACGCTGGTGGGCTATAATGAATAGTCAGTAATGTCTGGTGGTGGCTGATTTTTAAAAAGCATTTTCATCTTGTATCAGTCAAATAATTCATTCTCCTACCTTCAAGCAAAACTTTTATCTAAATTTTGTCCTTCTTGCATACCTTTTTCTTTAAAAGAAGAAAAGACACAATTATAAAATTCATCAAATAAAATTCTCTATCTTCTAAATGCCTAATATTCTACAATCATATATACTGTTATCGGTAAAAATTTCCTACTAGCCTAAATGCTTTCTTTTATAATTTAAATGTATTTTATTTTATCTCATTCATGTGACACTTTAAAACAAAGTTCATTATTAAATCAGTAACAACTCTTACCTGAAGATATTGTAGCAATAAAAGTCACTTTTTTATTAGAGAAATAGGATAGCATAACATAGAACAGTGAAAACCCTGTGATATTTGGGGTCTTGGGCAAGGTGTTTACGCCTTTGGGTCTCAGTTTCCCTCTCTATAAAATGTAAATGATAACGTCTACCTCTCCAGGCTGTTATTTATGATAAGGAAAATTGGGTTTATGAAAATGACCCAACTTAATTAAGCTAAACCCATCTCATTTTATGAATGATTAGAGACAGCTTAAACCACCACATATAATAATAGTAAAATATTTTTATAGAATTTTAAAAATCAGTAAAAAATATTAATAAGAGCAGATAGTCAAAACTAGAGGGGTAAAAAGAATCATGAATAAGCAGATCATAAGGACTTATATACTTGCTGTAGTCAAACCATAAGTAAGCTTTCTGATGGCCAAAGGGGAAATAAAGAAATAATAATTGGTAATTTATTAAATTCATATCATTAGAAGGAAAAATCATACCCTCTCCTCAAGTGATACAAAACATCACTATGTTTTTAAAGAAATCTCTCACTTGGGGCCTCCTGTAGAGGACACATAAAGCACTATCTAAATGTTAAGTAGCATTATCATTGGCATGGCTCTTCCTGAACTGCTGCTACCTACAAATTATTTTATTTTTAAGAAGTATCCTATAAGTGTTCTTATTCATGATAATGTTTGATTACCAAAGAAGTTACCTTTCAGAAAAAGGTTTTCTCCACATATTGGGATAATTCTTATCTTCAGTATCAAGTACAGGAAACAGTGGGCTCTGATGGGAGGTAACAAGCTATAGTGTCCGCACAGCTGCCACTGAACCTGGACCATTTTTTGGTACTTTCCAAACTGTCAAGAACCTCTCTGCTCTCATTTTGCCTGGCAACACCTGTCTTATTATCAACATCTCTTGCTCTGTTGGATTATATAATGTAACCCCAATTCTTAGGAGGACTGTATGTTTCCCCATGATTTGCATTTATTAAACTGGGTTTGCATTAACAAATAGGTTAATCCTTGTAATGGGCAGGCTTAATATATAAACAAAAGACCCTTCTTACTTACCAAAAGCTAAAAATTTTGCAGGTAGTTATAGTTGTTACTGATTATACACTCTCAAAATCAAGAATAAACTATATAATTATATATATTTAAAATTATATAAATATGTTTTTAAATTTTTTTTTTGTTCTCTGTTGTGGAAAGTAAAATAACTTTTGGGAACGTGAACTTGTAGCTGTGGCTAACTACTAATGTCACAACTTTCCTTTTTGCCATACAATATGTTTAGAATGTGAATGGTGTTACACGATTATTTGCACCAGGCACAAAAGCTTTAGAGAGCATGTTCCATATGCAGATATTACACTCTGGATGTATACTTCATGCAAACGTGCTAATCTGAGAACTGGAAGATATTGCAGTTGTGAATTTCATGCCTCTTAAACGTGAAAAACAAAACTCTCACGTAGCCTCCCACACAACAGGAAGTTTCCCTTGTAATTGACTCCTTGTACTTGAAAGCACACCTTTTCAGAGTAGGTGATTGTCACTGGAGCACCATACTTGCCTTCAGTCTTTTAATAGAAAACTCCTGCTACTCAAGGAAGGCTGCCAGTATTGCTTCTCTTTTTCCCTTTTGCCATTTGATCGTACTCATTCCCATATTCTTTGGGCACTAGCTATTATTCTTAACACTGCTCTAAGCACCTAATATGCGTTTGCTCACTTAATTTCCAAGATAACCCTGAGTGGGTACTATAATTATCTGCATTTTACAAATAAGGAAATTGTACACAGAGACAAAACTTGCCCAAGAACACACAGAAGGGAGAGGTGGAATTTGAACCCGGACAGTTTGGTTCCAGAGTTTCCACTTAACTGGGATGCATGCATATATTCATTCATTTACTCATACAAGTAATTCTTGGTACCCACTCCTATGGCACTAACCTAGATGTGAGGATTCAGGAGTTACCAATTCAAAGTTGTCTTCCTCCCAGAGTATATACTGTAATGGGGGACACTGATCAGAGAAAGGTAAACTACATTCTGTGCTTTCAAAGCATGATCACAGTAAAGCAGGTCAGAGGACAGAGAACAGGGGAGGAGGCTACTTGGTCAGGGTGGAAGTGGCATTTGATCAGAGGCCAAATGATGTGTGGAAGAAACAATCCATGTGAGAAGGGGTTGAGGAGAGGTGGTCTGGCAGAGGCTACAGCAAGTATGGAGGCACTGGAGTCACAATGGGTTATGGTGTGCACAAAAGCAGCAGGAAGGCCAGCATGGCTGGAGCTGAGTAAGCAGGGTGGGAGAGCGGATGGAGAAAAAGTGGGAAAAACAGACAGGGGCAGGGGCCAGTCCATTGCCCATGGTGTTAGGTTTGAGTTTTTTTCTAATGTGATAGACTCCCTTGATGGTTTGGTTTGGAGCTTGAAAGTAATAGAATTAGCCCATTAAAAAAAAATGTCTCCCCATTCCACCCTGCCAGCTGTTATGATGAGGATAATTTTCATCTTTGTACATACAATTTCCTTTTCTAACACTATGCTTGTTTCTTTATGGTTTCTCGATGTTACCTTCCAAATTTCTTTTTTTTCTGAAAGTCCCTTCATTGAAATTCTGGTTTTGGTTGTCCTTTATTCTTGTGTGTAACCTGGGTGGATCAGTTCTGGTCACTGCAGCACATGAAAGTGAGCAGAGCTGAGAAAGGTCTGAAGAAGGGCAACTTCAATAACTGACAGAGGGACCTGCTGTCAGAGCAACGGGGATTAAAAGGATTAGGATTTTTCCATCAGAAAGACTAGAACGAAGAAGGGATACAACAAAGTATCTGTAAAAATATGAAAGGTGTAAAGCGAATGAAGACTTGTTTGCTAACTCCCAGAAAACCATAACCTGGAATACCTTTGAAGCCTGGAAGAGGCCATAGGTGAATAATAGAAGTATTTGTTCTTCTGCACAATTGATAGTTCTTATTCACAGTCATCCAGAGTTGCAAGACTTGGAAATATAAGTAGGTTCAAGAAGGGAAGAGATTAATTTAGTAGATAGTGGGGTCATCATGGTCATTAAATAAAATTTTTCTTTGTGAATATTTTCAAATGTTCCTATTAAACAGAAAGA